TTTTCAAAACCCACACCTCACACTCATACCAAACTAAACCCACCTCCATTAATACCACACCACACAAATAACACAAATAAGTACTACCTAAACAACACCACCAAATCCATGCTAGAATAACACCAATAAAACCCATTTCATCATCCAGACACAACACCCACCACATCAAAATTCATTCCACATAAACCACCACCAGGAAGGTAACCAACCCCACCAGACCCACACCACAATAATTATATAAATATTAATAAGATCAAACATATTAAGATTATATACTCTTTATTATTTTTCATAATTTCGCTTTGCCCAATTCTTCAAATAATTTCTTCTATCACAGCAATTCATATAAATAAAATAAAATAAATAAAAAGAAAATCAGAAAGAATATACATAAGATTACAATTACAATTTAATTAATTTTAACAGTAGGTACTCAGGATATCCTTTTCCTTATATTACACCAACCCCTATCGAACCACCACCTCTCGAAAAACTCCCAAAAACCCAAAATTAACAACAGGGGACATGCATGAATTTCCAGCCAAAAAGTTGAACGCCCCTAAAATCACAAAATTCTCCGAAATTTCGACCCAATTTTTGACCAATCTTTGACCAATCTTCTGCACCCTATCAACCAAATCTCAGACTATACACAAAACAATTACCTACACCCACACCTAAACAACTACCACAACCTTCCCAATCCAACTCCACACTAAAACCATAAACACACTAATCCAAATGATATCAAATAAAATAACCCATAACACCACAACCACAACCACCACTAAATTAAACAACACCATAAACCCACACACAACCACCCCCACCCAACAAACATATAATTAAATAAACCACAATTAAATTAAATATACCAACCGATATAAACACCTCATGCACCCTTAATACCCCATTCTCAGCCACATCGATTTAAACATTCAAAATTCCAGATAATACAAACAAATAAAACACCAATAAGTAACTACAGTACACCCTGTACAACACCCCAAGCCACAACAACAAACCCAAATCCAACCCAATCCACCAATCCAAAATCTCAGACCCATAAAATAAACTCTCGAATAAATATTACCAAAAATCAAATAATAATGAGTCATATATCTACATGTATAATTATTGAATGTACATGTCGTATGTTATTTTATATACAAATCATATGAATTAATACCAGAAATANAAACCCCAAAAATTCTCCGAAAATTTGACCACATTTTCCGGGATTTTGATCACATCCTGAATCCCCTGAATCAATTTCCAGAATCATCCACCCAACCCATACACCAATCACCAAAGATACACACTCCATATCAAATACACAAACAACAACAACCTCAGTGAACAACCAAACTATACCCCAACCCATCAACACAACAAACCACACACCACCCAAACCACCCCAATAGAATCACCCAACAACACCAACCTAATGCAAACTATATAACTTTAATAAACCATAATTAAAGAAATAATATAGATACACAATTTACCATTATCTTTTAGCTCATATTCTAGCTTGTGTTTTATATAAGATTAATCCATCAAGATAATATATTCAAACTCAATATTTGTTTAATCACAACACCACCACCCCCACAACAAATACCAAACCCCACCCAAGATCACCAGTAGCACCCAATGCAAACTCAACAAATCAAACACTTAAACACATCCAATTAATTAAATATTATACAATCAAAATAACCAAACACATTGAAATTATCTCCATCTATTATCTTATGATCCTCTGCATTTATTAGATTTATATGATCATATTATACCCATCCAATTATACCAATACAAAGTTTATAAAATACAATCAGGAACAACACCAGCGGCACCATACACATTACCCAAACAAGATCCAAAACTATCCAACAAATTAACATAAAAGAATGCAATACCACAATATAACACAATAAACCTACCCCACAGCAAACGTATCGCACCTAAACTACAAATTAACAAAATAAAATATAATTGAATATTCAGCCATTCCCTTATATCACACCAACCCCCTACCGAACCACCACCCCTCGAAAAATCCCCAAAAACCCCAAAATTAACAACGGGGAACATGCATGAATTTCCAGCCAAAAAGTTGAACGCCCCTAAAATTCCAAAAATTCTCCGAAAATTTGGACCCATTTTTGAGGATTTTCTGGACAAATTTCTATCTCCCATAACCACATTACAGCCCAACAATCACACCGCACAATTAATTTAAATCAAATAAACACTAGAACTACCAACAAATATCCAACTATCCTATCAAAACCCCCCAAAGTACCAGTTAAATTAATTAAACCTCAAATTCAAGAAATAAAATAAGAAATAAATCAATCTCACATATCATTACATACTACATTTATGCACCTGTTAATATATATCAATTAACCCCAATAATAATCACTCTATACATAATTTATTAAATGCACTCAACACTTCATACAAACCCAATAGACCTAATTCCTTATATTACACCAACCCTTATCAAACCACCACCTCCCAAAAACCCCGATTTTAGCCCAAATTAACAACGGGGAACATGCATGAATTTCCCGCCAAAAAGTTGAACGCCCCTAAAATTTTAAAAATTCTCCGAAAATTTGAACCCATTTTTCTCAATTTTTCTCAACCTTCTCATTCTAATTCCACAATATCTCCACAAACCTATCCCACAGCCATAAACACCCACCAGATGAAACACTACAATTTAATAAACAATAATTTAAGAGATACACAAAATCAAATACACCAAGTACAACATCTATCCATACCAACCCCACCAATTTAACCTGATTTATAAGACCCATATAACCAATTTATACAAAATAACCAATCTACCAAATCCAACACCAAACCACAAACCAACCAAAATACAACAACATGTACAAAAAGCCAACACACCCATCAAACCCCATAACCCCAACCACTAAATCCAACAAGAATACAACTCAAACCCAACAGTACCAACCAACTTAAATAAATATTAATACAATGAGATATAATTAAATCAATATAGAATCAAAACTATTATCACATTACTCTATAGCCTATGATGTTGTTACATTAAAAAACCAATAAAGAGACATAAAACCAATATAAAGTATAATAAATACCCACAGGCTACACCAGGTCACAGAAATCAACGACAACAGAAATACATCTGATCTAATCAAAACCCACACGCAACCCCCCTAACAAACCCCACATAACCAAACACCCTAACCAAAACAATAAATTAATTAAACTATATATTATAAATCATTAAGAATATATTCAAGAAATCAACTCAGGTAATCAACATATACCACATATCATGTTTTATTTATATCATTTAATTACAATCATACCCAATCTCAACACAAAGAATATAAAATTAATATAGTACACTACCCACCTAGTCCAAATTCTTATATTACACCAACCCCTATCGAACCACCACCTCTCGAAAAACCCCAATTTTAGCTTAAATTAACAATGGGGAACATGCATGAATTTCCAACCAAAAAGTTGAACGCCCCTAAAACCCCAAAAATTCTCCGAAATTTCGGACCCATTTTTCATCATTTTCACCACCACACACCAACACCCAACAACAACATCCCAACCCACACCCAACAACCAATAAACCCATTATGGCACCCCAACCAAATAACACACTACACAACACAACCAACACAATACCACCAAGCACACCACAAAGACACCATTAACACATATAATATTAAGTAAATCCTAAAATATAAAATAAATACAAATTATAATCTATCAATCAGTAACAATCTTATGAACATTCTTTTTATTCATCTATATTACATCAATAACAAAATCAATAAAATCAAATAAAATATCTAGTAAATACACCCAGACCACAACACCATTTTCCTGTATTACACCAACCCCTATCGAACCACCACCTCCCCAAAAACCCCCAAAAAACAGCAAAATTAACAACGGGGAACATGCATGAATTTCCGCCCAAAAAGTTGAACGCCCCTAAACCCCAAAAAATTCTCCGAAAATTTGACCACATTTTCCGGGATTTTGATCACATCCTGAATCCCCTGAATCAATTTCCAGAATCATCCACCCAANAAAAATTCTCCGAAAATTTGACCCAATTTTTAATCCAAATTTACCCAAATCATTCACACCACAACCAAAACCAGATCTCCAAATACATACAAACTACACCAACCCATACCACATACCATCCACCCAACCAACAACCAACTAAGAGCACAACATCAACATCAACCAAAACTCAACCCACACATTCATCAACCACAACACCCATCACCACCACCACCAACAAATACATTATTAATTAAATTATATCAAATGAAAATATACATAAAATATACACATCATGATTATCTTTATTATGAGATCATACTTGCTGTTAAAATAATATATCATAATTCAACTTAATTCAATCTCAATATAATATCTATTTAAATATAATATCATCAACACCAGGCTAAATCCTTATATTACACCAACCCCTATCGAACCACCACCCCCGAAAAACCCTAATTTTAGCCCAAATTAACAACGGGGAACATGCATGAATTTCCAGCCAAAAAGTTGAACACCCCTAAAATTCCAGATTTTTCTCGAAATTTCGGACCCATTTTTTCACAATTTCCAACACCAACTCACCAAACAATCAATCTCCAATACCCACCAGGTACATATTAACATACAAACATCTACTACACCAATCAATATCAATCCACCAAATAACCAACCAAACGGTCCCAAACACAACACACACCCACACACCTGAATCACGCCCACCACCCTACACCACCACACCCTAAACAAACTGTAATACTAAATAAATACTATAACCCAAATAAGTAATCATATATAATAAAGATCTATCATTCTCTAACTCATATAATTTATGTTTAATAATTTCTTCATAATAAAATCATAATGAATCTCAATCTAAAATCTATCAAATTAATACACCACACACCACAACCTCAATTTTCTATATTACACCAACCCCTACCGAACCACCACCCCCGAAAAACCCTGATTTTAGCTCAAATTAACAACGGGGAACATGCATGAATTTCCGCCCAAAAAGTTGAACGCCCCTAAAATTTAAGATTTTCTCCGAAATTTCGAACCCAATTTTTTGAGAATTTCCCCACATTAACCCACACCTCCACACCAAACCCACTACCCAACACCAACTCAATACATCTAACAAAATATCATAGCTATCCAACTCACAAGAAGTATACCAACCAACTCACCCCACCCCACCAAACAAACAACCAGACATCAACAAACAATCCAACTCCAAAGAACACAACAAACTAACAACCACCTAATACCACAAACCAACAACCAGTACACACCCAAACCCCAGACCAACAAAACACACAACAAGAAATATAATCACCAAATTATAAAACCAAATCCCAAGACAAAACTTCCATACCACACACCAAACCAACAACCCCACCCAACCAACTCCTACCTGAACTAAATTATATTTAATACATTATAATCAAATCATATGAATAATCAATTATATATCTCATTTACACAATCTTATCTGATGTATGCGTTATTTTTCATTGCTTATAATCATTTAAATACCAAATCTAAAATTTATAAAATATTCAATATACACAACCCTAAACACACTACCATAAACCACCAATACATCCCACACAACCAAATAACCAGATGCAAATAAACCACAT